ATATACACTCTACATGGGCAAATGATTCCACGATGTTTATGAATTCAGCTATTTAAAAAAAAAAATAACAATCGTGAAGAAAAAAAACTTTTACACATGATGAAATTACTAATAAATACATTCATATACAAATGTTCGTCACATACACACCTATAAATCACAAACAATTTATTTTTAGTGCGATGGCCACATTATATTTTCGCAACACCAACTATTTTCTTTCTTTTTCAAACAGTAAACACTACGTAAGCTGTTTCCCATTGTATATAAACCCTTCTTAATTTATTATTCTGTTTTTATTCGACAGTTTGGTTAGAGCAGTTCTTTTCAACCAGCTGTCTCACATTATTTTTAAATATGTTGTGGGATGTCTCATACGCGAAATATATAAGTTTTCTTTTTCACATAACTCACATAAGCTAAATAATTAATTCTTCGATCATGAATTATCTAGAAACTAAAATCATTATTTATATGAAATGATTTATATATTTACTAATAAATAATAACAAAAAATAACATTTTTAAATACACTAAAATCACTGATTAACAACACCGTCACATCTTCTTGATTTGTTTTAGAAAAAAATGATAAGTATCTGAAATCAAAACAGGTTCGAAGTATTTGTAAAAGATGGGGATAGATGGAAACCATGATGAATTACAGTCAGGAGATTTCCTACACGGTCTGATTTTTTTTTTAAAACTTTTATTATGATATTTACAACTGTATTAGTATGAATATATCAAGTAAATGTGTACGTAGGAATATTATCACATGAAACACGCTTGTTGAGAAACTACCCATTGGTAGCAATCTAATAATTTTTCTACATGAGGAGATCACGAGGCCATCTTCTTTTCAGACGCCTCGGAGGGTTATCAGGAATCGAAGAGGAAGCAAGGTTAGAAACAAGAGGATTCGGATGGTTATGAAGTTTATTATGGAAGGATAGGTATCTGGATTTGGAGACTGAAAATTAATAAACAAATACCAACAAGTTAGAAACTTAAATGCGATCAATTTCTAAATAACACATAGCAACCAATTAGAACTTTCAAGTTGTTAAAATAGTTAATTTATTTACTTCCTAGTATTGTTACTTAACTTCAATACTACATTATAATTTTTTTTTAATTATATTTTTGTTCAAGGATCACCAAGAATTCATTTAATACAACTATCTTTTATCGTTGCCGACTCATAGGCTTCTTGAGCCATATACAAGTACAAATTACCATTTGAATAATAAAAATCATAATTTTCTAAGCACTCTCAGTTTTCTGTCTTATTATTATGAAGTTTATTCAAATTACGCGTGTAATTTACTAGGACTTACTACCTACTCGTACCTACATATGAAAGATATATTCGGCCAGAAATATAAAAATTATCTATTAGAAAAAAAAATCTAACATGAATTTTTATTCTATTTGTCCTAATTATCTGCGAAAGTAATATGGAAATATTTATTACATAATTAGTAATAAAAGTAAAAGAAATAATAACATAAAGTTATTAACCTAAAAGACTTAAAGAAGGAGGAGTACATGGAATCATGATAAATCTGAATATTATTGGGAATGACTACCAAAGAAGTATGTAAGAGGAGAAATCGATGGAATTCATTTGTACAAATGTGGATTTATAGTTGTTTGAAACTATAAGCAAAAATACAAATATTTACAAGAAATAAACGAATACAAATACACTTTCCAATCAAGAAAACAAACAAATAACACGTGTTTAACCGCCACTACGAGAAAATAAATGGCTTTTAATTAATCTTTTCTTCTTCTCTTTAAGAGTAGGTGCTATGTAATTTTACGATTAGAATTTTCCAGATTTGAGATATCCCAGAGAATAACTGTTTTTTATCAGATGATATTAGTCAGATAATTTTGGTAGTTAATATAAAAAAGTAATGTTTATGAATAAAATGTAGGTCTACGCTGAGTATCTAACAGTCATTTTTGTTAAATGAAAAGATTGCTAAATAAATTTCTTATTAAAAAGGAAAGTAGAAAATCAATTTTACGACTTGTAGAAACAAAAGTATGAATCCGTAAATATATTACCAGTACTCATAATAGTACCTGTGACAGCTTTAGTGTTGCCCAAATACGAGACCGAGAAGAGTCTTGGTCTTGCAAACTCAGTCTTGGTCATGGTCTTGGTCTTGCGCAAGAGTCTCGCAACAGTCTAGCAGTTATTTATTAGCTTATTCCTATAAATATATTACTGTATTTATTTAGATAGTAGAAACCAAACTAAGCCCGAATGAAAAATTAGAGAAGTTCAATGCAAGTGTATATTGGTTGTACCAATTATTAACATATAATCACTAATATTGGCAAGTATTAGTAAGTATTTTGCCTTAAGTTTTATTTAAAAAATCGATTTTTTTACCAGTCCTGGTCTTGGTCTTGGTCTTGCAGTGAACAGTGGACGAGCAATCCGTGAAAGATGATTCTAGATGAGGTCTTCATTTTTCAAGTTCGACATGACATAAGAGTTGTGTTTACTTGTTTTGTCAGGGAGGTGTTTTGTTACAGGGTATCGACTTAAGGAAGTTGATAAACATTAGTTGCCAAATACAAACACATAAAACAGGTACTAGGTGGAAGTTTAAGAGATGTGATAAACAGCTTTTCACTTTGATTTGAAGGAGAAAAAGGAGATCAATGAATATATATGCAGTATTTAACTGAAGGATAAAACTCCTCTGAAGGAGAAAAAATACTTATAAGTCTAATACTATATTGAGAATGTGTGATTTCCCACTTTTAGTTTTGAGATGAGGCCTACAACTACAGGAGACTTAAGAACTCTTGCCTAATAATTGCCATTGGACCTACAGTAAATACAGAGGCCATCTGTATTTCATCTAAAATTTCACTAATCTGATAAAAAATATGTGTTATGCCACCAAATGTATTTATCACATTTCATCAACGCGCCATCTCATTTTTATGACCTCACTATTTGTATCAGCTTAGTCTGCAAATAGTTCTTTTCAAAAGATTTCCAATTTTTATAGTAAATCAGATTTAGAATTATATCATAGCTTCTGTTTAATTTTTTCTGAAGCTGAGACGAAAAATAAGTTGCAACAGCCTCCTTAGAAGATTCACAATGATATAAGTTTCCATATCTGATGAATTATCATAACACACTTTCATAAGACCATTATTAAGTGATCATCTTCATCATTTTATTTATCAACTCAAGCTTAGAGACTAATTTAAAAATTGAACTAAAGAAAGTAATATAATAGATTTTATTTATTTTTTAAAAGCAAGAGTCAAATTTTGACTCTCCTGTATGAGTACTAGAGAAAAAATAACTGAGTTCATAAATATCATACGAGGTCAGGCGTGAGCGACCTGGCAAGATTATAAACACAAGGATAAACAACTGATTCTTAATAAGATAATTAAACAATAGGCTAAAGGGTTCCAATTTTTTTTCCTTGAATTTTTTTAAAAACATTACGTCTTACTTCACCGCATTAGCAATTTTAAATATGATATCTTTGTTTTGATATTGCATTATGTTATACACTTAGAGATGCCCAGCCATAACATCAGCCTAATTTAACACACTCGTGATAAGATCTATAATAATAGATAATATCTTATAATATTAAAATACAAATAATGTAATATCAAACACATGGATCCATTTAGGTTAGAATACGGAATAAAAACAGAAGTTTTTGATGTTATTTAAGTTACTACATTTTCAATTATGAATATCTATATTTATGTATTATTATCAATCTAAAAGTGATATGGTCATTTTGCAACATTTTTTTAAAAGTATATTTACAAGCATATTGAATAATTATACAATCAGCCACATTTCAACAATTTCAGGGCTGTAAATGTATATTCATCGCAATAAATACATAAGAAAGGGAAATTGATATTTTAATTATATAATCGTTTAATTTTAATAAATATATTATTTTATTAATATTATAAATGATAAATAAAATAGGATTGTATTTTTGTTTTGAAATTATTATTGTTGTTACTTTTGAATTCTTGTGTTCATCATATTTTTTGAAGAACAAAATATTTAATATATATACATATATATATATATCTTCGGTTTATTGCAAAAAGTCGCGAAGTATATTTTTGAAGGAGCTAAATTTTTAAAAACTGAAGTGACATAATATCTGTTACATATCAAATATAGCTACAAGAAGCACACAATTTTTTTAATTTCACAACGGAAAATTCATTTCTAGTTTTTAGAACTTTAAGTTTACAGAAGGCCGCATAATTTCGGCAATAAATTATACAATGCGAATTTGTATTTTTGAAGAATTTGAGCTATTGTAAGACCTATGCATAAATAATTTTATGAAGCTTGTAAAACTAGGTACGCAAAAAAATATTCATAAAAGGGCACTAAACTACGAGCTACGAAGATACCATGACAACAAGCCAAGCCCACAATAATCATATTCCATTTGACAGGCAACATCAACTGATCCAATTTCACAAGAATGCCAAAACAGCCTCAAGTTCAGTTCTGGTGTCAATATTGACCTAGTCCAATGGTCTCATGACCCACCATCTACCGTGGAAATTTTTCCGGAATTGTTTAAAAGGCTAATTAAAGCTATGTATTCTGTCAATATTGTATTATATTGTTTTGCAAGTCCAATAAAACGCAATGGTCCTTTGTCGCGCATAGGCTTTTAAGGTTATGTTGTAGAGTTTGACAAACTTAATTTTAGGCGGTATATTCAATCGCTATAGCTTTTGAAAATATGTAAATACTAAAACCAAGAGCAGATTTACTTGCATAAGCGTATTAGTTTTTGAATTTGGGATAACGATTCGCAGGTTTTATTTAATTTATAAGATGTCACGTTACATAGCTTCAATTGTAGCAATGAAGTGTTATCATTAAAGTAATTTTACATCTTGCCATTTGAATTCCTCGGAATAACATTGATGTTGACATGACGTGCAAGCAGAAGCTACCCCAAGCATCCCTCTATAGCTACAGAGCATACCTGTAGCTCCGGGTCCTCGGATGAGTCGTACCTCTCGGTCGGCGGTGCATCCTGCGCCTTCTGCTTGGACGTCCTCCCCTTCCTGGACAGCCTGGAGGTGACGTTCTGCTTCATCTGCATGTAGTAGCCCATGATCTCGGGCTCTTTGAACGACAGCTTCTTCCTCGGTCTGTCCCCGTTAGGGGATTCGTCGCTGCGGGCCTTCAGCATCCCACTGCCCTCGCCAGGGCCCCCACCGCCTCCTATCCCCTCCGCTCGCCGTTCTAGACTGCTCGGGTTCCATTTCTTAGCCGGAACCTTCGGTACACGAACAAGATCGGTTCCGTATTAGCAGCCGTAGTACGCGCATAGCACACTGCAATGCAATATTGCGATTTGCTATTTCAAGAATTAAATGGGATGGTTATATCATCTTATATAATATAGTTGGCTTGAAATGATGACGGAACAAGAAACATATTCCATCTGCAGACAATTACAATTATACGAAAATATTAATTTTCAACTTTTACATTCAGCTAACTGCAAATGTAATATGTACGTAAATATATACATAGACGAATGCCTGAACGGTTTGTTAAGGATAAGTGTAAAAATGGGAATTTTATTAAAAGAAAAAAACCTATGACATTTAATATTTACCGATAGTCAGGTGTTTATTGCATGGAATGAAGAGAATATCAGCTACATGTTCAGAAAAGTCGTTCACAAGTATGAACAAAGATCCCTGAAAAAATTACGATAAAACTAAATATATGGGCACGGAGAGAGAAGAGTGCTCTGACCAAACATTAGGGATCCTGAAAAATTACAACAATTATGTTACCTGGAATCCATAATAGAAAGTAATGGTAGAAGGGATGCAAAAATCCAAAAAAGGATCACTAATGTCAAACAAACAGCGGTAGTGCTTAATGCTTAATGCTCTGCTAAGGAGCAGATCTAACAGATATACAATTCATTCACAAAAAGTGTAATGTCGAAAATAGGGCCTCTCCCTCAAGGAAAAAAATTCCTTGCAGTAGAAATATATTTTCGGAGAAGAGCAGAATGGATATCCGGGATCCAAAGGGTCAGAAATAAGATAGAAATCGGCAGTTAAAAAAAATGACCTAGAGATGATGGAAGGTTTGGTTGAAAAGAACTTTAAAGACATTTCTAATAAAAAAAATTGACTTACCTAACCCTACTTGGCAAGGAACCACTTGTATTCAGGTACTATTTGTAATCGAATCAAAATTTCTATTCGCGGTTTTCAAGTAATCTTTAAGTTTCTTATCTCGCTATGAAAACGCATTTTCAGCCAAAGGTCAGCAAGCAGGTTGGTGGAGATATTGTCCTGAATCTCAGTCAACGAATTAATTCACCACTAAAACCTTTCCCCTTAATAAAGTATGAAACTAAAAGTTTTGGTAAAGTTTTTGCATAATCATTATATAATATATGTAATGTTATGTATATAGAAGGTAGAAAATAAGGCGGAACCCCATCGGGACAACGGCTTAAGCTGGAGTGACTCCATGGCCTGTGCCACGATTATCTTTTGATCGAATTAGCTGATTTTCATACTTCTTTTTTTGGTTTTTAGGGTTTCGGAAACCGGTGACTATGTTTCAAATAGGACATCCTTCGTATCCGCAACAGGAGAAATTCTCTTTTCCATTGGCAGCAGCACCAAAACGATTTTAAACAAACTTGACCGTAGCTCATATAACTGCACTTAAAGCTCTTATAATTTTCATTTATGTCAGGGTCTCCAAACTCCGGCCCGCAAGAATCTTCAATCCTGCCCGTGGAAGTTTCTTTGATTGCATGGTACAATTTTAAAAGTATACAATTTAGCAATTTTCTCACACACGAGGTTAGAACAACATTTATTGCATGTTGTTTTTTTTTTAGACAAAGATATTATTACAACTGAAGTGTCATTTATAGAGCAATATTTTTTTTTCATCACAAGCTGTGGCCCGCGGGACTTGGATGGAGGTCCCAATGATTGAATTTACCTAGGTTAAGACAACAATTATTTTTCGATCTAGACATTTTCCTCTTAAATACAATATATTAATTATTATATCATATATAATATTATTTATATTATATTAGGATATAATTATAATTATAATGAAATAGAAAATGAAGCATAATGAAAATATAAGAAATAAAAGGCTAAAATTGACGTTGGACTTATATGAGGCAGGACAAGTTGAATATATATTATGTTTACAAATTGGCAATAAGAATAATTTTAATTATATAATAATACAAATTGGGAATAAGGCGCGATGTATAATATAGATTTTTACAAAAATTTAAAATTTTCGGAGCGGTGGTTAGGTTTATTTTATATTGATAAAAATAATACAATCTGAGAGGTACAGAATACATGTAAATTAAAGTTAAACAATTTAAGCAACAAGTAGTACAATTAAATGAACAGTTGTATAAAATATAAAATGGGGGTTGGTCCACCGTTAGGGGGTCATGGGGTACCCCCCTGGTTTAAATAATAAAATTTAACAACGAACAGTTCAATGTATAGTACAGTACTGTCACACTAACAAAAAAAAATATGGCATTATGAGAAGTTGAGCGAACTGGGATAACTTTCCGAATGGAAATGTATTGTCCAGTCTGGCCTCCACAGAACTGGCTTTCAATAGTATTTCAGACAATCAGAATAAAAAAAAACCTTGAAATAAGTTGCCAACTTATAGCAAACTCAAAGGACTTAGTGAGGAGAAGCCATGATGAACATAACAAATTGGGTATTTATTCAATGTTAAAAATACATGATTTAAAGGTAACATTTAAATTCCAAAATAGACGTATATCCTAAAACCGAACATAGATTCATATCATTCTAATAAATTCTAAATTTATTTTAAAAATTCTAGTGGAGGAGTAAGCATTATTTTGTTTTCAAATTTAAATAAAAGATATTAAAGTGTCCATGAAATTGTTAATGTTTAAAAAAATAATTTTACTAATTTTGTAATTATAAAATATATTCAACTATAAAAAAAAAAAAAGCGGAAAAGAAGCAGAACCTATGATCTTAAAGGATCATTACAATTTTTTTGCTCCAAAGTAATTAAGAAACTAGTTAATGTTAAATTGTTAACCTTAACAAATAAATGTAGATACGGAGTTAGCTCGTCCCATAGCAATATGAAAAAAAAAAAATAGGTTTTTACCGTAGAGAGAGAGAGAGAATAACTTTATTATCATAAAAGGGTGCTGCCCAATTACATTGGGTTGCTTCAAACACAGCATACTTATTAATCACTACAGACAATTTTTAAAACTAATATACACTATATATACTATATAGTATTAACAATATGTATGAGCATAGTATACAACATTTTATATATATATATATATATATATATATATATATATATATATATATATATATATATATATATATATATATATGTATATATTATATTTTTTTATTTTTTTATTTTTTCTTTTTCTTTTTTTTTTACTATTTCTTTCATTTGTTTATTAGCATTCTAAATACCTTTCTCTTCCTTATCTATCCTTATATATTTTTCTTACTCCTCATATTCTCTCCTCTCTCTTCCTATAATTCATAAAATGCATACAAATACATAAAGTACAGTGGCCGTGTTCAATAAATAATATAAAAATGCTGTTAATATTATAATCCACTATCACAAATACATTTTTTAAATGACGACTCCTAAATTAAAAACATTTATGGTTTGTAAGGTTGCTGTTAAAGGTTTGTTTTTATGTCGCTTCTTGCAAAATAAATACTACCACGCCTGATTGAAAGTTGCTATTTTTATTTTTTTAACAATATCATCCAAAAATTTTAATTTACAGTTTTCATGATACAGAGAATTGCACTCCATGAAATTTCAATGATAGCGATAAATCATGGAGGTAGTTTTCTGGGACCATTTAGTATATTAATATTCTTGAAAGGAGAGACGCGCCAAGCGACAACGGCAACTGTTTGGTGTATATTTTAGAGGCAGCCTAGTTTCAGCAAGAATAAAAATAAAAATATAAATACAAAGAAAATATGGTTTAGTTCGTATTTCGAGACCTTACATTCGTCATCATCACTTTAAAATGAGGTGAAAAATGGAAGATAATTAACACGAGCTGTGAATTAAAATTTTAATTAAGTATTCTCTGAATGATATTTTGGGTAATTTACTGAAATCATTCTTACAACTTTTTCCCTATTCTCATAAAATTTAATTATTTTATTTTTTTAAACTTTCGAGTTTTCTAATTAGTATGTTTCTAATTTTATTATTATTAAAAAAATATTTTAGAGTAAACAACATAACTTCATTCTGGGACAATGTCACAAGAATAACAGCTGCTGATATATTATTTTCGGTTAGAGGACCAATAGATATTGAATAAATAAATAAAGAAAAAAACATTAGATTATCTAAAATATTTACAAATGGAGAATGGTAAATGAAAAAAAATTAAGTAATAATTGTAATAATAAAAAATAAAAATTGCTTCAGCTATCTAAATATATTTCAATAAATTTACATTTTTAATATAGAAAACTAAATTGCAATAAAAAAAAAAAATCGTAGGAAATTTAATTTTGTATTCACAGCTAAAAGTTGATTAATAAAAACGTTGCTTATTCATCTATTAAGGGTATTATAATGATTTTATTATTATTATTTATCTCTACATGTATAATATGACTTTTTTTTCCAATATCATTACTTTAAACTTATTTATTCAGAAATTTTACTTTCTGTCACAATTAAGAACGTTTATAACAGTTTTCAGAAAGCACATTCACACTTATTTACAATAAATAATACAGAAAAATAATAATATTAAAATTAGATCTATATAAACAAATTCAATTTACTTATCTTTAGGTTATTTTACTTGATATTGTACATAGTTTTTGATTGTTAATTAGTTATTATTTTACTTTTGTTAATTTTATGTTTTCTGTATATTGTGTGAATGTGTTTATATATCACGATAATTACTGTCCATGTTGCAGATTATTATATTTCTAAAGAAATAAAAGGATAATATATAAACAAAAGAATTAAACTAATCAGAATAACAACTAAAACACGAGCATACTATATGACTCATTAGATCATTTTATATCAATTTTCTTTGTCATACTCTAAGATTAAGTGAATATTTAGATTTTTTCCGAAAGAATTGTTACATTA